CCACTTCGCCAGTCATAACTGAACACATCACAGAGATAATATGTGTGTAGATAAAGCAGTATATATAACTCGTATGATGTTTTTATGAAACTCGCCTGTCGGCTCGTTTCATTAACCAGAACTCGTATTTTGATGCATTTCATTATGTAACAGTCACATAAACTACTACGTGTATTAAATAGATTGTTCTGAACGGTAATAACTCTGTGCAGGATGGAGGTGGGAGTCATCATGAGGACGCTTGCTCGTTTGAACTTACCTTACTATCAAATACAGATCTAAAAATGTCAGATATGTTTTGTAAAAAGTTATGCAACAAAAGTTGATGTTTATGATCTTAGTATTATAAGACTTGCGAGATTGTAAGCATTTTAAAAATAACCATATAACCAAAAAAAAACCAAATATATACATAATGCTGCTTGTAGAAAAATTTGATCTCCTTAACACAGTGTAAAGTTGTAACCACTTTACGAGTGTTCCAGTAAATAGCATTGTTGAAGTCTACTACTATCTATAGTTACACAGTTGACCTGGTAGTCTACAAATTAACGACTGGACTTAAATCGGAGTAAAGCCGTCGTTGACGTCGTAAAGAGCTCGCCGATACCAAGTCCCGTATAAACAAAACACTAATGCCCTACAACGCTCTCAAAATAAAGTGCATGATTGACAGCGTATTTGTACAACCCACTTGCGGCATTTTAGTGGGTGCTATTTTATTGGCTCATCGACGCACTCGGCATCTCTCGTGTTATGTTGGTACTATGATCAGCTGATTGCCGCTCTTTTTTTACGGTGTTTTTGTTAGCACACGTGTTTACGATTTTTATTATTTACTACTAGAGATGGGCAGGCGCTCGGGTTTTAACCAGACACTTTGTTGGTGCCGGGTTTAAATCGGGTTAAAACCCGTTGACGCCCTAAATCGAGGGCAAAAACTATTCACAACTAAATATTTCTTGTAATTTAAGACAATCGCGTTCTTTTATTAATAAATGTTTATTGCTTTCTGATCTAAACGATTAGATTTGCTTTTCTGTTGAATCGATTCGCTTGAAACTCGCATTGAAATAATTCGATACAAACAAATCGATAAATCGTATACACTTTAATCGATCCTTAGTAGTGAGAATCCATAGGATTGCAAGGTGGGTATTGTGTTGAGGTGCCTCTTTGTCGTCTAAAAAAGATTTTTTTTACATCGAAATTTGTAATAAGTATAGAATTATACCATTCAATCGTGACCATGGGACCTGTACAGGGTCCGAAACGTTGGTTTGTTTGAAAAAACAAATATACGCGATTTAAATCCGGAAAAATAGTTTCATTTCCTATGTGTAATAATCGCAATAACCTAAGAACTCTATAATTATGCCATTTTCTAAAAAAGATTTAAAAAAAATAATTTAAATTCATTTATTTCTCCATAAAACATAAGAAACAGAATATTTAAAAACTAATAGAAAAAACAATTGAGTGATGTGGATAAAAAGACTAAAAACTCAATTTTCAATCCTCACCTATATCTACTGTTCGCTTGCTGCACCAACATAACATGCGGAGTGCACACCAAATAATAACCTACTTTAAGTAATAACTAGTAATAACTTAAAATTTAATGGCTGTCCTTGTAAAGTTATATTTCTGTATTTATTTAATCTAAAATTTAAAATTGGGCAGAAAGGCGTTAAAACCCGGGACTTTGGGTAAAAACTGCTGTAGAACCCGAGCAAGTTGATTGGGTTTTAACCCACTGCCCATCTTCATATCTTAGACTGTCGAGACAATCCAGCTTCTTCATCAACATAAGACACACTTAGTGTAATAAGGGCACATCTGCAAAATGACAACTTTTCAGCAGAGATTTAAAAAATCTACGAACGAAATTAGTCGATAACTTTCATGCTTAAATAGGATAGTTATAAAATTTTCACCCGTCAGTCAACCCGTGACCATGGAGCGTGCAAGCGTTCCGAAATATCGGGAAAATAAAAAGAAGTCATACCGTGGTAAGAAACCTAATATTAGTGTTTTCAATTTAGTGAATAACCACGAAAGTCTTAAAATCTAAATTTCACATAGTACATAATTTGTTTCATCCAGTTCGTATTACTTTTACGACTTTCATATAATAAAACGTTTGACGTATGAGCACTTCTGGCTTTACCAAGGGTACGATAAGAGGATTATATTGCCCGTAATACTGCATTCCTACTATTAAATAAATAAATTTAATTCCCGGAAAAAAATCTTCCAACAAGTTTTCATTTTCCCCTACAAACCTGAGGGTCTACTCCTCTGACATCCGTCCGAAACGATCTCATCAAACTGTCCAATAAGTAATACCCGACCAAATTAAAAGAAGCATAATGCGAATGAAGCTTCATACTTGACATTGTCTTTTCGATTTAGTCGAGTATAACTTATTTAACAGTAATTGTTTCTTCGGACGAATAGACCTCCTGCATCAGCTTTCTGTCAAGTTGAATGGAGTGATTTGAAAGATTTTTTGATATCAAGTGACGGGACGAACAAGTCGTGCGCGTGATGGTTAGAGGCACACTTGTCCATTGCAGTTGCAGTGCCATTCAGAGCTTTAAATCGCAAACATCTGAGAAACAGTGCGCTCGTCACCCTGAGACGTAAGTTGACAAGTCCCATTTTTCTATTTTTACAAAATTACAGGCATATGCCTGTAATTTGGTATGTGTGTGGTTTGACGAAACTTTCTGTTTAAAAAAATTATCTTTCAAACCGAACTAAAATGTTGTATGATTCTGCAATAATGTGTTAGATATATTTTATATGTATCTATAATATGTTATTGCACTATGGTGTTCTGTACCACGTACATGACTCTGGTTCAGTACCTAATAATATACACAAAAATATTATCTATGCTTAATTTTTCACAATATTTTAAAATCTGGATAGTGAAGATGCTAAAAATAAACATTCAATTTTCGCCTGAAACTGTGTATTCAAAAAATAACCAGTCCGACCAGCAGCGCTGCGCACTCGGTGCTGATTTATCTTCATAATGTTGAATGAATTGCAGGCCAGCTTTCTGTAACATACATTTATTTCAAAAACGTGGTATTTTTTTCAAATTTTTCCTGCTAATACCAAATGTATTATTATTGCATACAATTTCTTCTTAATATTTTGACCAGTGCTTTTGTGTGATTTTGGAAAGAAATTTATGTACAAATTTTTTTTTAACGCGCACACACTCATAGCCCAGCACTAGGGAAACCCCATATCGCGAATACCATGAACACACACATAGACAAGCACAAATTACACCCAAACTCCCGAGAGAAATTAATGTAAGCCATACAAATATTTCTCCCGGCCCGGGAATCGAACCTGGGACTTCTGCGTGGCAGTCCAGCATGGTAACTGTTCGGCCACGGAGGCAGTTTTATAGTATAGTATGCCATAGATCAATTAATAATATCAAATGTATTTACTTAATTATTATCTCAAAGACGTCCACTACTGAACTTGGTTCTCTGACGCTCGCACCCGACGTCTTCCTCGCGAACTAAGGTGTACCTATAGGGTAAAACCGGGATAGATGCCCCACTTTTTGAAAGGGCCTCCTAATTTAAAAATTATTAGTTTACCATAACAATTCCTATGGATAATTATAGTTTAATCTTTTACATTACCTTAATACTTGATTTTATTCATCTAACATTTACTGATTTTGAAGAAATTAACTTTTTGCAAACCTATTTTTTTGAGGATAGATGCCTCCCTATATGGATAGACGCCACACAAAGAAAATACCAAGAAGGATAGATGCCCTTTAGAATGAAATAGTAAAATTCATAATAAAATGTTTTATTTGTAATCTTTAATTTATTGTATATACATATTACATCTTTAATAATAAATATATACGCATTTAAAGTTACTACCTACTTCACTTCGTATTTTTGTAGCTATCAAAACATTCTATACAACAATGTTCGCATTAAACCATTTTAAAACTGTGAATAATTTATCTTTTTGGTACTTTTACTTTGAAACTATTATCATTTACTTGTCTTTCACTAAAATAATGTATTTTTTTATTTTCTTTTCCTATCTTTCTTGTATTGTCCTTTGCCCCTAACCTACACCGCGAAAAATCGAGGCGTCTATCCTATTCGATATGGATAGATGTCCTTTAATTATATAACTAAGCTATAACTTACAAAATTATGCGACAGTAAATACTTGCGTCTGAAATTTTGAACCGTTTATCGTGTTCGTCGCGCAGATAAACGCATGCACAAGCCAAACCCGTCTATTCCACACGAAGCCCTGCAGGAACTTTGATGATTGGTGTCTATACTCCTTATTTAAAGTAATTATTCTTTGTTGCGATTTGGGGAAGTTAGGTTTTTTGAAAACGAGGCACCTATCCCACTGCGGCATCTATCCCGGTTTTATCCTAGGTGAAAACCAGTGCTTTGCAAAATCAGAAATAGCAAAACTCCCACTGAACCACAACCTTAATGGCTTGCTGCAGCACACACAAGTTGTTGTTACTTCGTTAGTTTGGTAGACGCTGTTTATTATGTGCATATATTTATTTATCTATAATATCATCATGAAGAACTACATCTTGTTCAAACATAGACCTTGTTAGAGTGTTGCAAACTATAAGTATACATTGACTACTCTAAAGTTAAAAATAAAAATACAAATCATCTTTTCTTAAAAAAATACTAAAAATATTATTTATATTCTATTAGAATTTATAGATGTTTGACGAGTTGATGGTTAGTTATTGTTATAACATTTATTTAATCTATGTTTGTTTGTTTTCACTATCAATTTTACTTTCAGTTTTATGACCGTTTCTTCTTTTTTTTTAATATGTGGAAAGATACTAAACGTTTTATCTATCTATTTTATTATATCTCACAGGCCGTACACAAACTAACAGAATCTTTTCTTCTCTATTACTACTTATGGATAACTAATGTTAGGTTTTGTGACAGCAATGATGCGGCGCGGTTCAATTGCCATCATCGGCGGTGGCGAGCCGCTGATTGTGGTGGAGGAGAGCGGCGCCGAGGAGGCAGATGGGTCCCAACGCTCAAACGCGCCCATGCGAGGCTACTCCGAGGACACCGAGTCGCCTCCCGACCCGTACCACCTGTCGCCATGGCGCGACAATCGCAAACATTCCTTGCCCACACCTTCTTGCACTACTGGCCCCACTGCCAGTCAGGTAAGTTTTTCTTTGCCCATATTCTGTCTCGCTCCTAATTGAGTCCCAGAGCACAAGCTGGGTGCTACGAAATCCAAATTGTCCTTGCCATCGTCAAAGGGAACTCCGCTCGAGTTAAGGCATTATAACTGTCTCGCCGGTTTTATATTCTGAGGTATCTAAGTGCTTGTCAGGCATCTGCAAAAATGTATTATATTATTCTGATAAACCACAGTCGAGTTTCATGAAACAATTAACATAAAGCTACAAATCCAAACAAACACAATCCACCTGTTGCCTCTCGTTGCTATAGTCACGAGCGCGTATTGATTGTATTAACCTTGTGCTTTGAAAATAAAGCTGTTTCCATAGCAACTACAAGTATGACTTTCTGGCAACAGGTACGGCGGCTTTCTGAAAGAGGCGAAGGAGCGGCACGCGAGGCTCGCGAAGCTGCGTTCCTCGCTACTTTACAGCAAGCATCGCCGCAGCCGGGTGGTCGAAGGTAATTACCAGCGGACTTTTAGCCTTTAGAATGAATAGCAGTTCGATAGCAACTTAACCTACACTGAACTAACACATTTTGTTGCAGACATTCCGTAGTGACAATATCTCGAGTACCGCAAGCGCTCTTTGGACGTGGACGACGTGAATCTATTGCAGCATTTCCCGCACTTTCACGACGCAGGGATTCGGGTTCCAAGAAATGTGAGTACTGTGTTGTACTTACCGGCATCAAACAATATCACTCTTAGGATGAAAACTGTATTGCCTGCATTTTTGCAGGTTTACCAGCTATCGATACGCTCGGCAGTACCCATAATCTTCAACTCGACATAATGGACGATATTGTGCAAGCTCGTAAAGTGCGAATGCGCCTCTGGAATACTTCCAATGAGCGTGTATGTGAAGTGCAGCCACTTGACGAGCGGTCGCCGATGAGCGGGTCGGTGAGGTACACGAACCGTGGCCGTCGACATTCCGACTTCGTGGGTTCTCCACTGCCTCCCATTCCGGCTCGTCGTCGAGCCTCGGAGATGCCGCCACCTATCCCACCTCGCACCGGTGTTAATACCAATGCAGGAGTCATTTGCACCGACACTGATTTGCGTTACATGCTGAAAGGTCTCACCTCGTCTGCCACAGAAATAGACTGCTGCGGTAAACCGGAGCGAACGAGACGCCTTGCCGACATGCGCTCTAGCAGCTTTGACGCTTCTACGCTACGAGACAAGCCCATCGACGCAGGCACCACATGGTTTACACGTAGACACCAAACTCTAGCTACCAAGAAAAAAGAAAGCGAACCCAAAAAGGGAAAGGTGACATTCGCACCGGATGCAAAGCAAGCTCCCGGAGATGCTGCAACTGTTGTGTGGGACTCGGGTTCCGTTGTAGACGCGAGTGCACTAGGAAGTGCTATAGAGGTATTTCTTAGGAAAAGCGGCGCAGTTGGCGGTGAGCCCGGGCCATCATCCTCGGGGGCAAACAAGCCGAAAGAAGTGGCAAAGGTGCAAGACATTCCCGGGCCGAGCCGTGTGTCGGCAGGCGCTAGCGGTACCGCCAGCGCTGCTAGCGAGCACTGGGTGCGTCCCGAAGAGGAGCAAGCGGAGGGCTGCGATGCCACGCTCTGCTCCTCGCTCAAAGACCTTTTCGTGTAGGTGCGTTTAACTCTTGTACATTACTAGTTGTCAAATAAGATTCGTTTCTCAGATGGCGAGTGAGGTGCGAGGTAGCATGCCATCGCGTGCGCTCGGTGTACCTTCGTATTTTATGAATCTTTCAATGTGATAGCTGCGCGCGGGCGCCGGTCGTCCTGAGTCGACTGACGACCGACGCTTGCACCGCGTCGAAATATTTTTAGAGTGAATTCTATTTTCATTGTAAATTTTTTGATATTAGTGATCAAATAATGACTTATTGTTAGATAGAAAATTATATTCGTGATGAGGGGCGCGCCTTTCCGCTGCCGCCGCGATGCAGTGCGGCCTCCCTTGCGCGCCCTGCCCCACCCCACCCCGTCTCGTTAGACAATCTGTGTCTTGTATCCAGTGTTGCCATTAAATAATTAACTTTATATATAATAATACCTAATAATATAGCAGACACTCTATGAAGAGACGTTGGGAGAAACGTACGCTTAATAGAAGAAGGCGTCATCCTGTGTCGCCTTTTATCAATAAAAGTTTTTATCGATGTTAATTTGGTTTTTAATTTTTCAACTCCCTTTATTATATGCACAAAGGTTATAGGTAAATAAATTCATTTAAAATTGATAAAAAATCTAAAAGAATTCTGAAGCAGAAAAAGCAGCAATTATGACTTAACGAGCAAGAAACCTTCGCATTGCGGTGCGCAGTTGAGTAAACGTACAAGCGATACGTCATAACCAAAACAAAAACCGAAAGTTATCAAGTGACACGGAAAGCAATTTATCCAAGTTTTATGGGCGTAACTTTTTCAATTACTCAGAGGCCCTTCATGTAAAAACTGCCGCTTCTTCACTGATGACTTCTTCAAATAATGGGCTTTACATTACACGACGGCCAATACAAAAGTAAGTATAATCACGATTTACCTTGCACAGGAGCTGTATAAAGATTAATTTATAGTCCGACTGTTACGCACACGAAATCAAATAATGTCTTAACTCAAATTGATTTAATTGAGGACACGTATTGTATATAAAAAAAATAGAATTAAACCATAATAATATTGTCGTTTATAAATGGACAAAGATCCACTCAGTACTTCTTTTTGAATTTTTAAATTGTGTTTTCTCAATTCCGCAATTTTTTGTTGGAAATAGAAACCATCTATTGCAACGCCACATTGTATAAAAAATTTACAAAAAAATATATATAAATAAAAACAGAAACAACATAACAAACAGCGTAGCAAACATTTAAACAACAAGTTGTACTATACTAAATAATACTATACTGATAGATACATGTCTTATGTGTATATCGCGTTATTGCAGTGTGTACTCTTAGATCGCATATGTACTTACGTAATCTTTGCAATATATACGTACATACATTTATAAGTATGTGTAGTGTGAAGACAAATTATTATTATATTTAATACATAGGTATTAGAGTTACAATATTAAGTATTCGATTTCATGTGTGATTTACTCAGTAACTTGGCGTAAAAACGACAGCTGAAACTCAAACGTCTTTATGCACAAAAGTGTTATGAATTAATTACATAAAATCTAACTCAATTTTCTGCACTGAAATTATATACAGAAATTATTTATATAATTCGTAACTTTGCTATCATAAAGCCACATGTGATCATGCCTCAAAAGTGTTTTTATCACATCAAAGTCATAAAAATAATACTAACTACATGAAACAAATTATTTATACGTAAAATTTTATAACTCTCCTTTTGAGCTTTTATAACTATCGACAAATTTGGTCCGTACAATCTCTAAACACCTCTGAAAAGTTGTAATTTTGCAGATGTGGCCTTATTACACCAGAGGCAAATTTGTGAGTACTTAAATTATTGTAGATCAAGAACAAGGCACACACTATATATAACATTTTTTTTATTATACAATTCAAATAGAATGCTGTTCTAACGTTCACTCAATTAATAAAAAGGTTGCCACAACATGCAAGGTATGTAGATCATCGTGCTTTTAAAATTATTTTTATTTATATGAAATTCAGAAAATTTTTCATATGTACATATTCCCGGTTACTTTTCTGCTAATACATTACATTAATGCAACTACACTTCTCTATACTTCAAGCACTATTTATTAAAAATGGCATATATTTAAATGATCATTTTAAATTTGCAAAAGCAGCAGACAAGAAAATATTAACGGTCATCTTTTTTAATGATTAATCCTCTTTGTCTAACTTTGATACTTTTATGGTGGCCCTCAAAACTAAGACAAAAGAGCATTAAAAATAAATTTTAGATACTTTTAGGTTATTTTTAAAACTAAGTAAATGATGATTATGTTTGTATACTACTATTATATTAATTATAATATAATTTGACCTCAAAAACATGTTCGGAAACGCAACCAAATTGGCGTCTGCTTTTTCATACACTAACCTTACCTAACCTACTGAATGGAGGAAGTAACCAAGCAACCAAGATATATTAGGAGATCAATATCAAAAGATGTACTGGTTATAAATGTCATCAATCGTTAAAAGAAAGGACCAATGACAAAAAAAAAGAAAATGTTATTTTAGAATACCAAATATTAATTTAGCATTTAAGCATAAAACGTAATTGGTAGTGTTACCTTGAAAACCGTTAATGTATAATTTATTCTTAGATAAACTAACCTATAGGGAACAATAAATCAATTATTTCTTTGAAAATCAAATAATATTATCGCCTTAAAAATTTACACGTAAATAATTTATAAACCCTTTTATTGGTCAACACAGGTTGTATCGAACAATATCGCAATAAGTATACAATGCTCGGCCAAATATTAGGCATAAAGACAACTACGTCTATGACGTCTGTTTACAATTTGAAAGTAGATGTTATAGATGTTTGTATGTATTTGTAAGTTAAAAACATCGCTAAATATAACAATCAACATACTAAACGTAAGTGTAACTTTTTTTATCAAATACCACATGGGCGTGCACACGTCGATTTAATAAGTCTCTAAATACTTTAAATAAATAATAACACACACACTTTAATAATAACGCACACACTCAACATAGCATAATTATCGTTTACATTTGTACAGTGCTGAAGAGAATGAAAGCTTTTACCTAACAAGTTGTTGAAACATATTTTAAGAACTATAACAGTTATAGGAACATCATAGTTGTCTTAATTAAGCAAATATCATTATTTATACACCATAATATCGTCCAATCACAGAGCAGTATTTCTTGACTCACTTGGTTGAGCATAAATAGTAAATGTTATGCATTACAAAGGTATAAAGTACAGTACAGGCAATACATATTTAATTACTGTAATAATTATATAAATCTCGTAATTATCTTAATTTAGCAAATATCATCAATTTTATATATCATAATATCGTCCAATCACAGAGCAGCATTGTTCAGTACACTTGGTTGAACGTTTAATAAATATTATACAGTACTAAGATGTAAAGTAAAAACTTCAAGAATATTTTAATCATTAATCATCATTAATCAAATCATTAATTTTACAAACCATAATATAACAGTCCAAAATGGAAGTTGATCAGAAAGGCAACCTTTCAAAATGCAATGGTGAAACTATAACAGATAAATTGTGATGTATTTCAGATAGTCATTATTAATTCAAACGAGAATTATGAAACCATTAAAATGACTGAATATTACGTATTTTAGGAAAGTAACCTTATTTCACAAGTTTCGTTTAAAATAAGGGACTTATAGAGGCACCTATATTTTTTTTTTACGAGAAACCTGGTGGCCATACTTATAAATTTTACATGGAATTTGTAGATGGCGTTAGTTAACGCCCAATTATATTGACTATAAAATATAAATACTATTACGGCTATTCTGAAAAGAACTTCGCTCTCGAAGTTCCTATATTACTTACATAACTAACATGGATTGTTAACAATGTTACCTTATATTAATTACACGGATTAAATGGATAGTTACCAAAATGTTATTTCACATCATGCATTGCTACCGTTTTGGTTTTCACATTAAGAAAACGAGTAAGCAACAGTCATTTGCTTTAACGACAATATCATCTAGCCCCACACCTGCTGCGCATGAGCAGATTAGATTAAAGCAAAAGACTTCAGTAGTTCAGTCAAACTTATCATATGCTTAACATCATATTTTTACATCATGCATTGCTACCGTTTTGCTTTCACATTAAGAAAACGAGTAAACAACGGTCAGTCGCACACTGCGCATGAGCAGACTCAGCTCAGTCAAACTTAACATCACATGCTTAATATATTTCCTTACAACATTAATCTAGCTAAAAAAGAATTAATCAAAATTCTTTACTTATTGTTATTACCATTATGAACCAAATCCAAAAATAAAACTGAATTATAATAATAACAAAACTTATGAGGGTGTTTTTATTTTTTCATATAATAGTGTCATCTCCCCATTCATCAGGCCATTTCTTTAATTAGACTTTAGCCACACAAAAAAAAACAGAAAAGAAAAATAATTACGTTTCGTAAATTTCCTATTTCTCTCAAATAATATATCTATACCTATAATAATGTATGCATTATAACCAAGTAAGAGGCGAACGGAGGTGAAGCCGGTGAACCTTGCTTGATACTATCAATAAGTACAACAATCAATAAATGCTAATTTATTGATTGTTGTAGGTACTTTAAACAATCCGCTCGGCCAATCTCGTCACAAGTGGTATTTAACAAGTCTAGACTTGAAAAATTTTGATTATCCTAATGTGTTGATTTGATCTTTTTTTTAATGCTCGATAATCTACACTCAATCTATCGATACCGTTAATCAATCAATCAATCAAATCAACCAATTTCTCGTTTTTTTTTAATTTAGCTCACCAGTTCTTACATCACCAATTTCATCTAAGATTGGATGGATATTTTTTGGGAAATGGTCTTTACATAAATCGACAGTAGCGTACTCAAGGCAGTAGTGTTGGTAACACAATTATTTAAGTAGGCCATGAAACATCAGAATCACCGATGGCATCACAAACCAATTAGATTAGCTGCGCTTCAGTGAAAGCGATCTTAGTGTTACACAGTAGTCTAATCTTAGTACTAGTATATTCACAGTAGGATTCAGCAGAGTCAGATGTGTATAAAAGCGCCTTTCTCAGTTTGTAGGATAAATTTTTCTTCTCAGGGTACGCCCCAATAACATCGTCGCGTAAATTTCCCAAGTTTTACCCACTGAAGGATCCTAGATCACGAACCAGATAACAGCAGAGCCCCGAAGGGCCTTACCAGCTTTTGCTGCTGTCTTAAGGATGCTCCACTGTAGTTTCTTGGCCAGGGCCTCGATGCTTTCACAGTTATTCGAAGCTCCGCAATCATTATTGTCAGGACCGTACTGCGGCAGCGCGCTGTCGTCATAGTTTTGATGGGCAGTTGCAACAGTATCAGAAATCGATTTAAGATGGCTGCTGATCACGTCGGTATCTATCCTGGAAAACACAATTTAAGAATTTATAATATATGTCATGGGGCTCGGGTGATCCCACTTCTG